GCTTGCAATAAGTGCAAATCCGTTTCTTTCGGTAGGAGCGGAACCCGAAAATGGATGACAGTACGCAACGCAGCATGGCGAGTGTACAGAGAAGCTCCAGCATCAGAAACTTGGGACAAATACGTAGCCCAACGTAACCACTACACTCAACTGTTAAGAGAAGACAAAGACGCCTATCAGCAGAACATCGCAAAAACCTTCAGTTCTAACCACAAACTGCTGTACAAGCACGTTAATAGCCTACGAAAGGTGAGGCAAGGATTTCCTCCACTCAAGACGGCTGATGGTCCAACAAGAACGTCTATGGAAGCTGCAAACGCACTGCAGATGCAATACGCCCCCACGTTTCAAAGAGTCTTGCCACCAAGCAATCTACCAAGCTTTGTATTCTGCTCACCAGGACTAACCCACATCAATTTTGCCGCAGAGGCTGTATTGCAAAAGCTGACTTCTCTACGCAAACACAGCTCGCCGGGTATCGACACCATTCGTCCAGAGGCATTGGGAGCAGCAGCAAACAAACTGGCAGGACCTTTAGCTCAGTTTTTCCAGCACTGCTTAGACCAGAATCAAGTTCCCGCCATGTGGAAGCTTGGAATAATAAGTCCGATCCACAAAGGTGGAAGTAGAACTGATCCCTCAAACTACCGCCCAGTAACCCTTCTTCCTATACTCTCCAAGGTCATGGAATCCATAGTTGCCGATGCACTGGTGTGCTATCTGGAAAACTGCAACCTCATCACTCCTGAACAGCACGGTTTCCGTCGACAGCGGTCATGTACAACAAATTTACTAAGTGCCCATAGTAGTTGGACCGAGGCAGCCGACGCTGGAGAAGGTGTTGATGTGATCTACCTGGATTTTTCCAAGGCTTTCGATCGTCTAGACCATCGGATACTACTATCCAAGCTGCAGCATTACTGGATCGGCGACCCTCTTTTAAGCTGGATCGCCAGCTTTCTATTTCAACGGCAATTAGTGGTCAGAGTTCGGAGCTCTTTATCGGACCCCATACGAGTCGTGTGTGGTGTGCCGCAAGGCTCGGTTATAGGTCCACGTTTGCTTTTGGTGTTTATTAATGACCTTGCACAGGGAATCGCTTCAAACTTCCTAATGTTTGCCGACGATATCAAGATCTGGCGCAGGATCCAGGCGAACGCCGACCAACATGTGCTTCAGAGTGACTTAGATACAGTGTATCCATGGTCGGCCCAAAACTTATTGCATTTCAACGTCAGTAAATACAAGGTGCTTTCCATCCGACATCAGAGCAGCTACTCATACCGACTCGGAACGGATGTACTGCAACCATCAACTCTCGAACGTGACTTGGGTGTCCTGTTTCAAGATGACTTGGGTTGTTCCAGGCAATCCGAAAAGGCCTCGAAGACCGGGAACCAACACGTTGGGCTGTTGAGGCGGGCGTTTGGACAAATAAACGGCCCCATATTTCGACAAATGCTCAGTGCGTATGTTCGCCCCCATGTCGAATATGCAATTCGAGCCTGGCATCCATGGCTGAAACACGACCTTAATGCACTGGAGCAGCCACAACGCCGGGCACCTAAGAACGTAATTGGAATGCGCAATCTTTCCTACCAGGAGAGGCTGCGACGACTAGGATTGTTTAGTGGAAGCTATCGCAGACTACGAGGCTACCTGATTGTGACATACTTGATTTTTGAAAAGCACGGTAAGAAGACGAAAACTGGTAGATGCATGCATTTCGTATTGTCTCCTCAGTACCATTAACAATAACCGGTATGCAACTATATACTTAAATATGTGTGTGACCGAATAAGCATAAGGTGAAAAATGAATGACGGAAGTTCCACACCTATGTCCACGGCAGTCTTAAGCTGATAAATAATTGCTTTTGAACACACAGGGCGGGCTTCATCCGGCTTATCGCAACCGCCTCGGCGAAACGGAGGAAGCGGGGATTAGGGTGACGTAATACAAGTGTGAACGCTGATCCGAGCTCTATCCGGTGACGCATAGTCAGTAGGTGTTTACCTATTGAGGAAGCTGGCGGTTTGCGCAAGCACGGAACTTCAGTGGGACAGGGATTCTGGTCAATTTCACGTTTTGATTCTGCAAGACCCACATCATGTGTGCCGCCCTTTACTGCAACTCAGCAGCAATACAAACCTGAGGGGCCACTCATTAAAACTCGCAGAACAATACAGTCGTCTGGAGTGCCGCAGAAATTTCTTTTCCATTCATGTCTGTCACCCGTGGAATGCTCTCCCAGAATCGGTCGTCTCTGCACCGACACTAGCAATATTTAAAAGACGGTTGGACGATGCACTCAGCCACTTACACTTTGTTACTTAACACTACGTCTCCATCCTACACCTGGAGTGTACCATGGAATTAGTTGTTGTAAACTGTGGGTGCTGTGAATCTAAGAGGATCGCAAGACTGCAGCGAAGCAAACGATAAGTCCTTATTTTCAAACTTAAAGTATTAACTATTTTACTATCGTTATCATCATTATTGCTATGTTGATATCCCCACCAACTATCCGACGGGACTTGTAAAGCAACGCTTCTTAACCCGTGTAAATTCATTGTTCATTGTATTCACTTATTTTTGATTCCTAAATCTGTCGCGTTCGCGACTGATGAGAACGATCTCATTGTTGACCTTTCCCGACTTATGTTTTCTTTCTGTGTTCGGTAGATTCTTAGTGGGGATATATTATTTCAACTTTTTCATCATGTCATTCGAAATGAAGTAAACACGGAATAAAACTCATAACGGGCCAGTGGAACTGGTGAGAACATCAATGATTTTGCTTTCCTTTCGAATACTATTGAAATAATATCCAGGATCATTCAATGAATCTCTGTTGGCATTTCACCTAGTCATGTTGGATAAATCACACACAATCGTTGCCCTGAATCACTCACGAAGGATAGTTCTCAGTTTTTGAAGATTCCTTTCTAGCTCACCGTGACAAGTTCATTGAGGTCAGAAATTTTCATATGATGCGTTATAAAAGGTGTTTTGATTTGCAACACAGAAGAAAGCTTTGTTAAATGATGTGTATGTCACCGGACTGCTAGACTTCAATATTAGTTTTTACCAGGTGATTCCTGAGGAGTGGTCAGTTGGAAGGTTCATGGGTTTCTTTAGTGACGGCAAATAGCGGCTCTGAGTGCATGATGGCATACGCCTTGTTAGTCGCTACTTTGGAATATCCAGCATTGCATGTATAATCAAGAAGAAGAACCGCCTGTTCACCACTAACCAAGGTACAAATTGCAACCATCTCCGTTACTAAGAGCTCAACTGCAATACAACAGAAATTATGCTCAGAGGGTGATTTTGAAATACTGGTTGTGTGCTTGGCTTGAGAGGCGTAGTTTGCGTTAAAGCAACCGCTGAATTGTTTGGCAATTTGATGTCGCTCGCCCCGAAAACAGCGCCCACCACTACACCTTTCAAACTTTTTGATCACATCATCTTTGATCTCATTTGCGTAAATGATCTGGAGAAGGAAATTATTTCTGGTTTTACATACTTTACGGATAATATCAAGTTATGACGAGCGACCAGAGGATTGAACGACCAAGAAAAGCCCAGTGTGCATCAACAAGATTTCAAACTGGTCAGTTCAGAAAACACTAACGTTAAAGCTGGAAAAATGTCACGCTGTTCAATTGCGCCGTAGCCATGACTACGTTTATAGGCTTGGGTCCTATGTGTTGCAAACAGTTTCCCAAGAACGCGACCTTGGTGTGCTCATTCAACGTAGTCAGAAGCAGTTGCGCTGAGAGCCAACCAGCAAGTCGGATTGCTGCTGAGAGTATTCGGAAGTTTCGACCCTCCCCCATCTTCCTCATGATGCACAATTATAACGTGCGTCCTCACGTTGAATATGTCATGCAAGCTTGGCAACCCTGATTGAAGCGCGACTTAGAACAACTAGAGAAACCATAAGGCAAGAAGACAGAGGACCTCAAGGACCTATGAAACCTGTCCTACCGTCAAAGGTTGAAGTCACTGGGTTTTCAGTGGCCGCTACCAAAGGCTGCGTAACGATCTCACATTAGTCTACCAAATATTGTGTGACCCTACTCAGGTATGCAGTCATTTGATGAAGCTCAGCGATAACCCCAATCTCAGAGGTAATCCTCTGAAATTGAGCGAACAGTATAGCTTCCTTGATTACTGATACAATTATTACTCTTCGATATTGCCAAGCCTGGAATCCCCTTCCAAAGTTAGTCGTTTCCTACCCCAACTTGGAAATTGAAAAACGGCGAGATCTTGTACTTGGCCTCAATCTCTTTGTCGCCCAAACCGTGCTACTTTGGAATATATTAATTAACCCTGCAAACCGGATTAATATGTCACATAAACATGAGGAGGCGGTACGGAAGTGAGTATTCACGTTCTTACTCTTCTCACTGGGCACCTCAACCATAACTGTTCTCATGTTCGCATTCAATTCCCAGGTACACTACTATTATACAGACAACTCAGATATATTTTGGTATCGTAGTTTTTCTTCCCCCCAACATCCTGCGAGACTTATCAAACAACTGCTTTGTACCCAACATAAATCATTGTTAATTGTTCATTACTCATTGTCTGGTTAGATACACTGGCTGACATGGCAAAGAGCCGAACTCAGTGGCGTTTGTGTTATGAGTCTCTTTGTATCGCACTTCCTATTTAGCTTCCCCCTCCAACAAAGATTTCAAGCTTTATACATAATGTGATATTAGCACTAAGTTACCTTACTGAACTTTTTATTCGGGGTTTTATACGCTCTTTTATGTATTGCGGCACATTAGCTGAAGTGTATTTCATACTCGCATTTAACCTGTATTGGTGATGATGGTGATGCTGACGCACGTTTGTTAAGAAACAAGTCAAGCACTTGTACAGCATTTCCGTTAGTATTATACCAATAAAAATGGGTGGTCTCGTAACATGTACATGAAGTAGAGACGCTGTCTAACACAATGGATTATTATTAGGGCAGCTGAACACAAACGACTGCCATCCAGCACGTGATGTCCGCCCAATGAATCCGATCGATACGTCTTACTACTCTCAGTTCAAAGTGCACCCGTATAGATTCCAATGGCTGCCTGCAAGGCGAAACGTTCACCATCCTCAAAATTAAGAGTACGAAAGAAGCATAAAAAGCAGGATCACAAGAAAAGACCTCCGGGGCCATACGCTCTATTCGTTCAATCGAAGAGGCATCTCTACGGCGGAAACATAGGAAATTTTGCCCGCCGATGTGCCTCGGAATGGCGAAAGCTGTCAGAAGGCGAGAGAGAAACCTATCGGAAGAGGGCCGCTAGAAATACCAAACGCAAAGTAATGGAACCGAAGAGTGCGGCCTATTTAAACTTCGTCAATCGAACCTACAGGTGTCTCCGATCAGCCCATCCAGAATGGTCTGCCAAACGAGTCCGGGAGCAACTTATAAAGAATTACCACAAACTGAAGTGCAGGTGTACACACCGAAGGTAACTATGTGAAGCAAATAAACCCAAAGCAACGCTTAAGCGTCCAAGGTTTGAATGACTGTGTTAATCTTATCACAGTCAAACGACGTTAACCTTATATATACTGCAAGATTGTTCCGGAGACCCCTCATAAATCCCATACGTCTTTCGTCGCTCACCATGCAACAAAAATACCATTAAATTGCTGCAGAGTACCTTCGATTCACCAGTTGAATGCGCGGATCTGACATCCTACCCGCGTTGATGGCCAAGGGACGAGCAAAAAAGGAAGGAATTCTTAAAATATACTATGCAGCTGCATGTACAGCTAGGTAAGACCTAGCCAATACTGTTAGAACTACCAAATTGGTGTAAAATATACCCGAATTTTCTCTGGTATTACTCGATTTGTGGGCAGAGACAACTGTGGCTAATATTGGGCGCAAACAAGTCCATATGGTCAGTTTCATTAACATGCGAAAATTTTAGGCATCGGAAAGCGCCGCTATCTGGTTACACGTCGTATATAAATGTTCTGCGCTATGAATTCTGTGTAGCAATGTAGGGTAAACACAATGGAACTAGGGATTTATCATGGGGGGGACGCCAATGCATGACATATCCTATAGAATGGAAACGTGGAAAATGCATGCAACACAGTAGCGTCAATCAAACCAAGCTTGTTAGTAGACTTACAAGAAAGTTAACCTGCACTCATGGAATGTTTATGTCAAGATGACGCCCAGTCAGAAAGGGCCATTTGGTGTAAAGTGAATGTCTGAGTTGGGAGGGAATTCCACGATTTGCAAACATGAAGAGAAAAGAAATTCGGACCGTATCTGGAATGGAAATAGATGTGTGTTGCTCTTTCCAACCCCGGAACACTGTTGGAAAGAGTAACACCCATCTATTTTCATTCCAGATTCGGTTCTTGAGATCGGAATGACCGAGGTTTACCACAAAATAAACAGAGGTCTCTATAAAGGTTGCGAGTCGCAACCCAACCACACAGCGTGTTCCCTAAATTCTGCTTTGAAATTCGGACCGTATCCTAACCGACCACCGTGTGGAGCCAGCTTTGGCTGGAAACCTCTCAGTGTAGTATTGTGGTCCGTTTTAGAAGGTGACGATGAACGTTGTTTAGATTCTTTAGAATTTGATTTGTCCTTCACAGACTACGGTACACCTAAATATATCGTCCACTGTAGAATCCCAGGAATTGTATTCTAACTTGCCAAGCAGCCTTTCACATCCTTTTCGCATTCCTATTCGGTCTACATTGTAAAATATTGATTGCGGCGAAACAATGCTTTGTCAGGATTGTCGGGCGTGGATGGTGTGTTCTGCGTGGGGGCTGATATAGCGGTGATGCATATGGAAGCATATGGAAAGGTTAGACAGCCCAAATATCCTCTGCAATGGGGTAAGCTAGTGGTTGGACTTACAACACGACCATTCACCCGCTGTCATGCTGCTACCATGCTATCCACTCATGTTACTATGCCAACTGCACAAACACACGCCACCATTTTACCTACCCTTCCCGTGTACCATTCACACCCATTTTTACCTGATTCCTCTACAACGATCAATCCCACCTACACTGATGAACCTGTTCCTGTGACATCTGCGAACTCAACCACACAGTACTCAACAGAGTGTTGCCGGTCCCAAAGTCGCCCATCTTCGCTCCTGCAGCCCGGAACGCAGTTCAAACTTGCAGCTTTTAACGTACGCACATTACTGCAGATCGGTCAGCAAGCTGGCGTTGCACGCACGCTAGAGACCCTTGGAATTGATATCTGCTGCCTGACTGAAACACGACTCCAGGACTCTAACTCTGTCTACCAGCTGGTGTCACCGCTCCACCCACGCACCCGGTTCCATCTCCGCCTCTCTGGTGACGCCGAATCTGCCGCATCTGGGCAAGCTGGTGTTGGAATCGCCCTCAGTGCTAGAGCCGAGACTGTTTTGATTGATTGGATTCCGATCAATAGCCGCCTTTGTGCTATGAGGCTCCATGGCTCTTGTAAAGTCAGCAGACGTCGAGTCGAAAAGCGTGCTCTCTTCGTGATCTCTGCCTACACGTCCACTGACTGTAGCTCAGACATCGTCAAAGACCAGTTCTACCAGAACCTTCATGAGCTGCTCCTAAGGGCTCCTAAAACAGACATCATTGTTTTGGCAGGCGACTTCAACGCGCGTGTCGGTCGTCTGCTGCCATGTGAGCGCCACCTCGGAGGACCGCATGGATATGATGATGTTCGCTCAGACAATGGAGAGAGACTGCTCAGCCTGTGTGCTGATCATCAGCTTTTCCTCTCCAGCACCAGCTTTCATCATCCTGGACGCCAGTACGCCACTTGGCGCCCCCCATCATCAACCCAGCGCTGGTCACAGATCGATCACATAGCTATAAGTCGCAGGTGGCGCGGCAGTGTACGCGATTGCCGATCATTTTGGTCAACATGCGTCGACACCGATCATGCACTGGTGTGTGCGACCGTTTGCATGCGTTTTGGTGGTTCGCCTAGGTCAAAACACACCCGACTAAACGCCTACAAGTTGGAGGACCCAATGGTGAAGAGAGATTATCAACAAAAGCTTCACGAAAAGCTCCCTCTCTCTCACACTCTGGATGTTGATCAACACTGGTCAAGTCTCCAGCAAGCCTTGTTGTCGGCCGGTTTGTCCAGCTGTGGCCTCACTCGCTCCACTCCCAAATGCTGGATCTCGGGAAGATCATCAGAATTGCTGGATCGTCGACGGGCGGTGCCTGCTGGCGCAGAGTACAACGAACACCGCCGGTCTATTACGCAACAGCTGAAAGCAAGCCTTCGCTCTGATCGTGAATCCTGGTGGTCAAAACAAGCTGGTGAGATGGAAGCCGCTGCATCAGCTGGAAACTTCCGCCGCCTGTTTTACATCATCAGGGCCACTGGTTGCAATTTCCACGCTATCAGCCAGACGATTTGCGAGGCAGACGGCACGAAGATCACCAACCTTCACAGACGATTGGGTCGCTGGTCAGAGCATTTCGCCCTTCAATTCAACCACCCAACCCAGTCCCCTGCGACACCTCCACCCCCAATGTATGATGCTTGGCCTGTCTCCACAGCCCCTCCAAATGAAGCAGAGATTCGAAATGTAGTCCAATCTTTGAAACGCCACAAAGCTTCGGGCCCAGACAACCTACCACCAGCTCTATTCAAAGATGGTGGGAGTTTACTTATCAGCGAAATCCTATCGCTGTTCACGAAAGTTTGGACTGAGGAGAAGGTTCCGAGCTCATGGGGAGAATCGGTCATTGTCCCGATTCACAAGAAGGGTTCCCGCGCCGATTGCTGCAACTACCGCGGAATCTCCCTAATCTCGGTCGCATCCAAAATCTTCGTGTCGGTCCTACTTAGCAGGCTTTCAACGACTAGAGAGGAGTTTTCCCGAGAAGAACAAGCCGGATTTCGTCCAGGCCGCGGCTGCATCGACCAAATCTTCACGCTTCGGCAAGTTCTCGAACTTCGTCACATCCACCGGCGGCCAACAATCGTAGTGTTTTTAGACATCCGAGCGGCATTTGATTCAGTAGATAGATCTGCGTTGTGGAACTGTTTACTGAAGAAAGGTGTGCCCGACAAGTTTGTAACCATCCTGAAAGTACTTTACAGTCACACGTCGGGCAAAGTTAGGGCTTACGGCACGCACTCCTCTTCATTCGCTGTGACCAGCGGTGTTCGCCAAGGTTGCCCTATTTCACCTTTCCTCTTCAATTTCGCCATCGACGATGTTCTCCAAAGAGCGCTGGAAGGTGTCCAGGACTGCGGTGTTGAGCTTCTCCCTGGAGAAAGAGTCACGGACTTGGACTACGCCGATGATATCGCCTTGCTGGGGGACGACCCACAATCCGTCCAGAACGCTCTGGACCGCTTGGCGATGGAGGCATCTAAGTACGGCCTATGCTTCACTCCGGGAAAATGTAAAACGCTGCTCCAGGATTGGCAGGTGCCTGAACCCGCGCTCACCATTGCTGGACATGTTCTGGAGCAAGTCCCTTGCTTTACTTACCTAGGGAGTTGCATCACGGCTGGTGGCGGTGTTGGAGATGAAGTCTCACAACGGATCGCAAAGGCCCGCCTTGCATTCATCAAACTGAGACATCTATGGCGTCGTCGTGATGTCAGTCTCAAGCTCAAGGGCAGGGTGTACAATGCTTCCGTCCGTGCAGTACTCTTGTACGGCTGTGAGACTTGGCCTATTCGCTCGGAAGATATGAAGCGGCTATCAGTCTTTGATAATCGCTGTCTACGAAGGATTGCTCGGGTGTGGTGGCAACACCACGTAAGCAACGCAGAGGTGAGAGACCGCGTGCTTGGGGCGAATAGTGCCAGTCTTCAAGACGTTATTCTCCGACATCGCATGCGCTGGCTCGGGCATGTTCTGCGCATGCCAGCCCATCGCCTTCCACGTCGAGCGCTATTCGCACTCCCAGGGAGCGATTGGAAAAAGTGCCGCGGTGGACAGCCGATGACGTGGAGAAGGAGTATGAAGAAGGCGACCTCAAGTTTGGCAGCAGTCGGACCAGTCCGCCTCCCAGGTTGGGGACCACGAGATGCTGAATTGCAGTGGTTGGAAACACTGGACGTCATGGCCCGCAACAGACATCAGTGGCGGCAATGTTGTTCCGCAATTTCACCATCCCTTTGATACACATACAAACCCACAAAACAAAAAAAGCAAAATGGCGTGTGTAAAACCACAAAAAAATCGTTTCCCACATTTTTTAAATCGCATTAGTGTTCCCATCTTCTTCACTTTTTTCTTCTGCCGTGGTTCTGATGGCACAATGTCTGTTAACAGACTGTGAATAAATAAATAAATAAATAAATAAATAAATAAATATAGTGGTTGCTTTCTCTGTCTGACCTAAACAGCCACAAACTTCATGTACTGGCATTCCTAGGTCATAAACAGTGGAAACCCGGTGCATAAGTTAATCTCCCGGTCTGCACACGTGAGTGCTTTAGCGATATATACCCAGTGTAATGCAGCTGGCCGCGTATCTTTATGTAGCTTTTCGAGATGGTCTTGCATTGTTACCTGTTAAACAGCTGACTAGATGGCCCGCGTCATTTTGAATTAATCAACCAAGAGAAAGAAATTAGAGGCTATGGCTCTCGCGAAATATTTTATAGAAAGGACACTGTGCACAGAACTTTATTTTTGTCAACTATGTTGTTGCTAATTTACACATCGGCTTACACATACACAGTCATAAGGTGCGGAATTCGCTCATTAAATCGGGGGTCAGATCAACAATCCTACAGCTCTGAAATTTGTAGAAGAGGATACGAGGATTTAGACGGCCGAATGCTATTGGGCGTTTCAGAGATAATGCGTCAAC